CCATTAGGTAAACGGAGCAGGTATTTGAATCAAGTGTCTGAATTCTCATATAAAGACATGGGGTTGACCTTGACACTTTCATATGGCACCTTTTACTTATTCTCCACTTTACTACTGTCTTCTGTCCCCTCTTGCTATCCCCTTTCTCTTTCTGTTTTCATGACACACATATCCCATTACTTCCCCACTTTTATAGATGAAAAACCAGAGGTCCCCACATTTATGGGATTTTCCAAGACAGTCCCAGAAACAAACTCTACCACACATCCTCAGCTTCTCCCCATCATGTGGAACAACCAGACAGCTCTGATGATCCATCATAGCACACAGAGAGTGAGAAGCCAAAGGCTAGAGCCAGGGCATGGACAAACAACACCTGTGTGAGTCTCAAAGAAATAGGGTAGAGAACGACTGAATCCTCCTCTGCCTTCAGTGGAGCATGGACACACACATCTGCACACACACATGTGCATATACCATGACAACCCCCCCACACACACACATACACATGCACACACGCACACATGCGTTCTCTCTCTCTCTCTCTCTCTCTCTCTCTCTCACACACACATACACACACACACACACACACAGTGTATCTAGAGATATTTTTTCTTCATACTAGAGTTTAGGCCTGGTAAGACAATGGAATTTTAAAGACAATATCCAATCGTCCCAGAGTTAGAATAAACTGCAGCTAAAACTTGAAAACCTTTGCTGGGAATTGGATTTCATTTTAGAAACATATAAGATGACTCTCCTTGAGTACGGGGGATCAGGAAGGTCAAGTTGCGGGAAGAACTGAGAAGAAGAGCAAGGAAAGAGATACCTTAATAGAGGGAGCCATTATAGGTTTAAAGAGAAATCTGGCACTGTGGAAATCTCCAAGAAAACACAAACATGACACCAACTAAGAATCTAGGCAATAGTGGAGAGGTACCTTAAATGCCCTTCCCCTATAATGAGATTGATGACTACCTTAAATGCCATCCTAGAGCCTTCATCCAGTAGCTGATGGAAACGAAGCAGAGATTCACAGCTAAATGCTGATCTGAACTCCTGGAATCCAGTTGTAGAGAGGGAGGAGTGATGAGCAAAGGGGTCAAGACCATGCTGGGGAAACCCATAGAAGCAGCTGACCTGAGCAAGTGGGAACTCATGGACCCTAGTCTCACAACTAGGGAGCAAGCATAAGACAGAAACAGTTGTCCCCGTCTCCCCCAAGATGTAATTTTCAGTTGGGAGTCCTGGGCAGCCCATGGGACCTCTGGCAGTGGAACCATTATTTATCTCTAGTGCACAAATGGACTTTTGGAGCCCACTCCCTATGGAGTGATACTCTCTCAGCCTAGATACACGGGGGAGGGCCTAGGTACTGTCCCAATGATGTGACAGGCTTCGAGGATCCCTCTCTGAGGTGCGGATGGGGGTGGGATGGGAAAATGGTGGGGGAAATGGGAGAACAGGAGGGAGAGGGAACTAGGATTGGTATGTAAAATAAGATTGTTTTTAATATAAATAAAAATCATTAAAAATAAAAAGATGACTCCCCTGATTCTAGTCTCTTCCTACAGGAGTTCTCATCTGAATGAAAAGGTCTAGGATATGGTGACACATATTTCTGTCATGTCAAAAAACATACCAGAATTATGAGAATGGGGACTGAGGAAGATTCACGAAACAAGGCTATTCCAATCTTTGATTTGGAGGCACATCTTGCCATCTCTTGACCATCAATTTATTTTATAAAAAGAAATCCTTGTAGTTGCTTGGTTTATATGTCAGAAGAAATTATGAAATGAGTGGGAAATGACATGACAGCATTAGAAAAATCTCTAAGGCAAACCGCACGTGCTCACAGGTAAGATGGCCTTCTACACCATCTACTGCTGTGGGCAGCATGGGAAACCCTCCCTGTGTCCAAACCACAGCTCCTCTTCCAGGAGCCCCTGGTGACCCCGGTGGCTTCCCATTCCCTAGACAGGAAGTGTAGAGGCTTGGCTCCTCTATCTGTCCCTGCACTCCCAGTAATGTAAGACTGACCAGTTCTTTCCAGAATGTAAAGCTGTGCAAAACTCATGGATGATTTCCAATTATTTCTGAAAATAGAGTAAAACACTGACACTCCCCTTCCTATCTGCCCTTGCTCATTCCCATTGTAACAAGACATTCACGTGTCCCTTTCTGCCTGATTCCCTCAAAGTCTTTTCCCATGCTGCCATCGCCTGAAACTGTAGCCCCAAAAGTCCCTTGTTCAAGTCCTTATAATGGTCACTCAGGAAGCGCTGGCCCAAGTCCTGTGGCAGGGAAACCCATACTTGCCTTCAGAACACTTATAATTGTGCAAAATTAAGCATTAGTTAAATCCCTCTGCACCTCCCCATCAGTAAAGTTCCTGACGGCCATGATTATTTTGACTCCAACTTGTTATCTTGAGGCTTTGGTTTTTAAAGAAATTAGTAATTAACTCAGGCTTGGAATACTGGTCTTGCTTTCTATAAGTTAAAACTATTATTGAAAGAGGAGGAGAGGGAATCAGCCAAACCCCTGGCAGGTGCCAGGGATCAACTTGTTGCATTTGCATTTATTATCTCTTTTACTCATCCACAAATTCTACTAGATAGTATTGGTTTCCCTTGCCTGATATGCCAAACCATGATGGAGTCACTAGTTTACACTGTAATAACATAGGCAGGGTTTACAAGCAAAATATAAATATGCCATTAAGTAGATTCTACAGGAGTCTGCCATTCAAATGCAAATATCACAGACTCCCTGAGCATCCCATTGCCAGCATCATAGCAGAATTTGACAGGGCCCCCACCCCCAACATGGGGAAAGCAGAAATAGAAAAAAAATAAAATTTTCACTGGCATCTGTATTTCTTGAACCTAAATGTTTACTGCCCCCCCCATACCATCACTTTCCATTTGAAACTTTAGCAGGCAATGTCACTCCATGCTTATGATATGTTTGCTTATGGAGATGTTTAGTTTCTATTTTCATCTTTTATCTTAGTTTTGAAAAGAACGTAATTACTCTGACAATGTAATTCAAGCACACGGATAAGCACGCACACCTGGTGTTCCTTGAGGTTGTTGTTGCTAACGCTCTTCAGTTTAGAGGTGTTGCAAAGAGAGTGGCTTGGAGAGAGTTTAGTGTAAAATATGCTGAGTCCACACTAAGTATGAGAAAGCTTGGGAGCCTCATTGAGAAGATGATGCGAGGATCCAACCCAAAATTTAGAAATTTAGACTAAAGACTACAAGGCTAACATGTGTGGCGCTTCTTCATAGTCTTCACAGTAAGGACATAGACACTGACTAGTAAAAGTCAACAGTTCAGTGGGCCAGAGAGACAGCTCAGCAGTGAAGAGCACTGGCTGTTCTTCAGAGGAACTAGGCTTGGCTCCATTACCCTCATGGCTGCTCACAACTGTCTGTAACTCCAGGGATTCTGACACCCTCTTCCGGACTCTTTAGTCAATGCATATACATGATGCACATACCTACACACAGACACTCATACACATAAAAGAAAAACAAACAAGTAAATCTCTAAAAAAGAACTAACAGTTGAGGGGTAACTTAGGAATCATAAAGACCTAGGTATGAACAAGACCTTCAGCATGTTGCTTAACCAACCCTACCCTCAGGTTCCTCATTTATAAGACAAACGAAGACAGAGATTTCAGGAAGCCTCAGTCAGTCAAGCGCTTGCTCTACAAGTTTGAGGACTGAAGTTCAATCCTCAGAGCCCATGTAGAGATATTGGGTGATGCATGCTTGCAATGCCAGCACCACAGAAGCAGAAACAAGAGAATATCTTGTCTACTGGCCCCCAGTCTGGTCTGACTAGCGAGCTTCAGGCTAATGAGAGACCCCATTTAAATGATGTAGATGGATTTCTTCACAATGACACTAAATACTGTCTTCTAGCCTCCACATACATGAACACATACCTGTACTCATATGTGCACAGAGGTACAAAAAAATCAATAAACTGGACAAAGAAAAGCAGCAGCTAATCCACAGTATTGTGGGCACTGAAGGAGGCATTCTGCAGCCTGATCTGCCTTGCCACATAGCAACCCTTGAGCCATGTTAATGATTAGAATATTATCAGACTCAGAATGTAGGCGGGACAGAGATAACCATATCCTCAAGGGCCAACCTCAAAGGTAGCTTCAGACAGACGCACTAGTCACCTATAAAACACATGGACTTGAATGCAAGTCAAACAACAGCAAATCCTCTGTTAATTCGCAGCGTTAATTAAATTTCTGGCAGAATACCGTAATTTGTAATACAGTTTATTGTTCTTCCAAACTATAATCCAAGAAGCAAATTCTATTAGAACGTCCTAAAGTACCTGGTCCATAAAAGAATCCATACCAGTTCTTAGCAAAAAATTCTATTCCATGGAGAAAGCAACTGTCCCTACATCATATGCAGAATCCATGAAGCCAAAAGGACACTTTTGTTTAGAGTCCTTGTATTAAACAAAGGAAGACTCAACATAATCTAATCTAACTTGGGAATGGTCCTTCATTAATCTGTCAATAAAGTTTTACTAGACCACATCCATACTCGATCATTTGTGTGCAATCATGACAAGGACGGTTTGGCCCTCAAAGCCTACCTTTAACCATACTCATGAAATATAAGGTTTAAAAAAGCCCCTACCCACCAATATAAGGTGAATGATAGGACCTTCAAGGTTGGAAGTGAGGTGGGCCTTGGTGACGCACGCCTTTAATCCCAGCACTCGGGAGGCAGAGGCAGGCGGATCTCTGTGAGTTCAAGACCAGCCTGGTCTACCGAGCAAGTTCCAGGACAGGGTCCAAAACAATACAGAGAAACCCTGTCTCGAAAAACCAAAAAGAAAAAAAGGTTGGAGGTGTTTGAGCTTCCAGTGTGTGGTCCATTTGTGTCAATGGCCGCCTCCCTTCCCCTCCCGGGCTATGGGGTTCTACACATTGATGTGTAGGTATGACTCACATGGGCTCTGTCTTCATTCTTGGTTGGTGTTGCTCTGGGTCCTTGCCCTGGCCCCTCCTCTGCAGCTGCCTTCCGGGTGACATTCTGAGGCCCCAGCTTTGTTAGTGCTTGCTGACCACAGCTCTGTGACTTAGTTCCCAAGCTATTGGCGGATTCTGCAGCCTGAGCTTTCCTGCAGAGAAACAACAGGGAAATGATCAAAACACTCTTTAGCAGGAACAGGCCTTCCAAAGCCGATGTCTACAACCAAACCATGTGAAAGCAGCAGCTTGCGTGCTATTGTGCTTATCATCTGGTAGGTCTTTGGAACTTTAAAAACATTAACTAAATCATAAAAATAACCATCCTATCCTTGCATCACAACAAAAGGCTCAAAGAAATACTATAATTTACCCAAGATCACATAATGGTTTTGTCAGGACTTGAACCCAGGGTTACCCAGCTCCTGACTCAGCTAGGCTGCCAGGAGTTCATGCTGCCTTCATGTGGCCATTCAAAGAATATCCCCTGCATCACAGTGTACTCATTTATGGTTTTAACATCAGGAGAATTGGAGTGAGACACTCTTAGCTTTTGGGCACTCAAGTTTTAAGTCCACACATCTGTTCCAACTTCAGCTCACCAGCTCACAGCGGGGCTGCCCAGAACTAGAAGAGGTGATCATACCTGCCTCTGTTCCAAGTCACTTAGGTGTGCAGTTGATTATGTAAATTTCCCATGAAAATCTCAGTGCCCCTAGAAAGTTCAGACTCCTAAGCCTAGCCTACAAAGCACCTTAGACCATCATCCCCATCTCCTGGGGTTCACCTGGTGTACCCCAAGCACTCAGAAGGTTTCACCACTCCTCACAGAGCTGTTCAAAACCAAGCTGAGGAATCACGATCGTGCCCTCTATTTGAATCTCTCTCCTAACCTTCCATAGCTGGGTACCCAACTCTTCCTTCAAGACTCAACTCAGATTTCCGCTGATCTATGCATCAGAATGGGGGGATTCTGTTTACACCTTAACCAAGTCTCCCTCTGAGCACAGCCTGTGTTACAGCAGCTGCTTGTTTCTATCCTAGGCTGGAATGAGTTCTTCTGATTCCCATTGCATTCCTGGTGCCTGGCATAGGGCTGGCACCTGCAGAACCTGCCATGCCACTGCCCACAGCTGGTTCAGTTCTCACAAATGCATGGGACACCTGGCTGCATCCTGTGGTGCTGCTCCAGGAAGACGCTATTAGAGCAGTGGTGGCAGAGGGGGAGTCAGTGTGCTCATGCAAATCAGCAATGGGACTGGGATGGCTGTCAGAGCCATGAAGCAGTTGTTTGGCAGCCTTGCAGGCAGGCAAGAAGGGAACCACTGAGAGCTCTAGTGACCTTCTTAGGAAGATCTAACATGAGTCTTCCGACCCTCAAATGTCTGCTTGCTCTCCTACCAGAAGCCATGAGCAAGAGGTGTCTCTGCAGTATGCTGTTGAATTGAAATACCCCCCCCAACACACACACAAACTCATGTGTCTGCATACTCAATCACCAGCTGATGGTGCTATCTGGGAATGTTGTAGAACCTTCAGTTTCACTGGAGGCAGGGAGTCATTGGGGGCTGGCCTTGATGTTTTATACTCCAGCCCCACTTTCTGCTCACCCTGATGTCTGACTAGAGGTTTAAGGTGACCAGATTCCTGACACCATGCCCTCCTGGCCATGATGGGCTCTATTCCTTTTTGAATTTGACACAAAGAAACCTTGTCTCAAGACTCAACTTCCTTGAGTTGCTTTTGTCAAGTATTCTGTCACAGCGATGAAAAGAAGGAATTAGTGCACACAGCCTTTTTGAAATGCAGCCGGTCTCTGGCTGGGGTGTGGCTTCCCTACCTGAGCTCTGAGTCCTGCAGTGCTCTCAGATGCGCCCTCTCAGCAAGGATCTCATCACACAGCACGTCGTAGGGTTTGTCTAGATGGTGTTCGCCCATCACCCAAACCCACACCTGCTTATCAGCACCCAGCTTCCAATGCACAGATTTGCCATTCTCTGAAAATGAAACAAAATTTCGGTTGAACAAATTATCTACAGGATATTATGCGTCCCAATAACTTTAGTATTTTCAGTCTGGGGAGGGGGTTTGGTCAAACAAAACACTTCCAACCTGCAAACAGTAATGCTCGGGGCTGTGAAGGTTTCTTTACAAATATAATGGGCCTGGTGCTTGCACCTGCCGGATGCTGAGAGAGGATGTTCACAGTGTTTCTTATCTTTTAGGGTAAGAGAGTGAGCTACCATTCAGGTACAACCTCTTAAGACTAAGGATTTTCCCATTACCCAGAATTGAATAGCTGTTCAAACATTTGTTGTTTCCACTACCACTAAAGGGTCTTAAAAGGATGTATTTTAGAGTAAGACTGGTTTCATTCAAATATTAGCCTTGCCACCTACCAGCTATGTGACGTAGAAAAACTCATATCTTTAAAACTCAGTATCCTCATCTGCCAGATGGGAATACTAACATCCATTACAATGACGGCTGTGAAGAACAGGCATGTTAAGGATGCCCTTGTATCTGCCACATAATAGGAGTTCAACAGAGGTTAACTGCTGTCACCAGCCAGCCTATTATTTACTTATGGGGCTGCTTGGAGATTCACACCAGCATGTGAGAAGATACTACTGCCTGGGTAGTATGACACTTGGTGAAGCTACTTAAATAACCCTGTTTACAGTTGGTCCTGGGGTTTGTATTACATCTAGTTTCTAAGCTCCAGAAATGAAACCAGATGAGAGCTTGGTCCCTGAGACCAGGAAACTGTAATGTGTGATTAGGAGAGACCAAGACATACAGTCCCTGAAGTAAAGGGACAGATCTGGGGTCTGCTCAGGTCATTGTAGCTCAAAGTTAAGATAGCCAATACCCTCAAACCAGCCAAGGGTGCAGAGTGTGTGAATGGAATGCAGACTATGTGGATCCAGGTTGTGTTCCTTAGAAATCCACACTGGGGCTGCCTCTGGTCTTAGGCTAAGCAATGCAAGCGTTCGTGCACTATTGGCCCATTTCAGAGTGCTGTCTCAGGTTGCATTACAAAATAGGCTGCCAAACTTGAGCTCCATTTTCTTCTCTTTTCTAGATAAATGATCTCACCCCACATTTTTAGAGAGTCCTAAAAATCTCTGAGCAGAGTGGGACAGATTTGTGCAATCTTCACCACGGACCTCAAAGTCAGAAGGAACTGCTCTGACCCTGTCATCACGGCGAGAGACAGAGTGAAGGTGGAACCCAGGTAGAAGGAGAGAAGACATCCGGAGCGCTCTTCTGGGGGTCGACCCTGGGGTCAGCCTTTACTGGTCTTGCAGTTTCAGGACATGTGAAATGTTTCATTAACTCTCTGTCATACCACATAAAACGGCCTCTATTACATACCCCTGAGACCAACTATAATATTTTCATCTCATCTCTTAACCCTCACTTAAGTAACTCTCTGCTAATATTTTTTACAACAGGAGACTGAAACATAGAACAGATGATAGTTGGAGGCCAAGAGAGGCAGACTCGGAGCCCAGAGAGTTATTGTTCAGCTGTGACACCATATGAATATCCCAAAACAATTTTCGTAGAGTCTGCAGGCTGCAGTGGCAGGGATGACTCTGGAGAAGGTCTTGCCTTGGGGGGGACAGACAGAGCCTAGGAGTGCAGGTGAGCAGTGGAGAGCACGCAGGAACTGGAAGTAGAAGAGAAACCAAAAGAGAGGAGAAAGCTGAAGAGGGTTGGGAGCGCTGTGGCCACAAACACCGGCAAGTAATAAAAGGATTCGACTCAAGCTGTCACACGAAGCAGGTGCTCAGAGTCCTCTCCAGTGAGGAGCCTCTGTTCTGCCTCCACAGCTCCAGAACCCCTTGAGTACAGAAAGCAAATGAGATCGAAACTGGCCAGGTGGCCTTGGAAATTACCTTACACACATCACTGAAATCACCGGGATAGCTGGGCTCCCAGGGAGAAGGAAGCCAAGAAGAGAACCTTGGAGAAACATGGGCTTCATTGAAGGCAGACGAAAAGAATCCAAATTATTCATAAGTAGTAGGCAAGTGGAGAATTCCGAGTCCCCAGAGAGCTAAGGGGGGTAGAAGATGAGTGGGAACGTGCACAGCCATGCAGAGAAGAAGGAAGGGAAGGATGGCATTAGATGATGCCCAGGGGACAGCAAATGTTGGGATACAGAATGGTGAGAGCCGGCTTAGGCAGCAGATATGCGTCCTAGAGCCCACCAGCGAAGAGAAAAGAGGGCTCAGCTGTTTGTCCAGGGCACATTTCCACAAGGTCTGCACATTCTAACACTGCTCTAAGGGCGTCGGGAACAGAGAGAACAATGTCAGAGCACAGCTGCATGAGAGAGACAGAGACAGAGAGAAATCCTCAAATTGAGGAAACAGGACAGGGCTTATACCTGGGCTGGGTTCAACCATAAAATCAGGCATGGAAGGAAGATCAATTCAATGACACCCTTGGCTATTTAGGGAGTTGAAGCTCAGCCTGGGATATGTGGGGCCTGGTAACTAAAAGAGGAGGAGGAGGAGGAGGGGGAGGAGGGGAGGAGGGAGAGGGGAAGGGGGAAGAAAAAAGAAAAGCAGAGAACAGGCACCCACGGAGCCGTGTAGCCAGCCCCTAACACACCTCCATAAAGGAAAGGCGTGCTTAGAAATTCTGCATGTGACACGCAGAATATCTCTTTTACAGTCTAACACAACCTGGTCCCTCTGGATTTCCCGTCTACCTCACCTTGAAATTGTATGCACTCCTAAAGGTGAACACGGGGAGGCAGGGAATTTGATTAGTACTTCCCCATAATTACAAGGTCTTTTGCTTCTCTAGTCTTTTAAGTGTGGCTGAACAACCACAGGTCTCTTTGTGATTGGTATCTCGGGGGCTCCTACCAAATTATTGTAAAACCAGCTTTTCTAGATAAGTGGGTCCATCTTGCTCGGGGACAACTTCATAAAGAACTGCCAGGCAGAGACCTACAGTCATACCCGGTTCTTCAGAGAAGTGTTTTCTGTGAACCAAGAGATTTTCCCCTACAGGCAGACCCTCTAATGGGGCAGAGCCGTAAAAGATCCCAGAAAAATTGAGTGGCATATCTCCACTCTTACATTCTTACTCCAGTCTTACATTCTTACATGTTACTATGTAACACTGTTGTGTTTGCTATACGATGGGTCCAGCAGGATTAAAAGCTTCCCATGATATGTCAGGGATGCTTGCAGTAACTCCTTCCTGGGACATTGGTGGATGCTCATATTAATCATTAAATAGGCTATTCCTAACCCTACTTTATTGTGAGTCCATTGAGCTCCATTGAGTTCCATTGAGCTCTAACAAAAGCATTTCCCCAAGATAAATACTACGGCACATTGGTAGAATTCAGTACTAGTCTGTGTGCCTGCCTGAAGTCAGGCTCCTATGACAGTACTAAGATAGCCAACAATCCTGAGATTGTACACACTATCACCCCAGAGGCCCCTGCACTATCTTTCACCACTCTGCCCTCTCCTCTAAGAACCCGCTCCTCAAGTAAAACAAAATGATGAGCATCATCTGCCAGAGACCTCTGAGTCCTCATCTATGGCCACTGTCCCTTCTGACTGGTGGATGCCTGCACCATCCTCATCTTTATACACTATGCTAGGCCATTCCTAAGCATACTTTATTGTAAGGCCATCACAGCCTAGAAAAGGACCCACTGCACTCTGACAGGGGGATCCAAAACTGATCTGTGACAGCAAAGCCTGGATTTAAAGAATAATTCTGATGTGATCCAAATAGAAACATCGGGAGTGAAAAGAGCACCAATAGGATACTGGATAAGCTGGGCTCACCCACATCAAATGAACACAGTATTCTTTCTCGTCTCGTAGGGTGAGATGGGGGTATGAACAGGTCAGATCTGTCTTCATGTTCATTTTAATGAAGGCCAAGGCCCATTTCTATCAAGTCTTCCTCAAATTACTTGTATTTTCCCCCTATAATTTCCAATTTTGCTAGATAAGCTGGAGTTACTAACACCAATGTCATTTCAATTTAATAAAATCATATACATATTTTAGAGGACCAAGAACAGAGAGAAAGTTGGGTGACATGCCTGACACCACAGTCCCAGGCAGTGACTGGTGGACAGATGAGTAAGACTTCCAATCAAAGGAGTAGACAGAGGCAAGAAATGAAGAAGGGAGAGTGCGGGATTTGAGGGCAGCAAGTGGGGTGGGAATGCAGTCATTGCCTGCAGACACGCAGTGCCAGCTCAGAGTTAGACAGACAAGATGTTAAGGCGAGAGGTCTGGTCAACCGGTCAGACAAGACCAGGTACTTAACTGGACTCCAATTCAAACACTGGTTCCAGCTCTGATTTACACAAATTGCATCTTTCCATTTATTCCTTTCTTTGCAAAGTAAAGGGGACAACATTGACATCATAAGAATTAAATGCAACAGTTTCAACGTAAAACTTAAGCCTGACACATTATAACAGACCAATACCCTGGTAGGGGAATCTCCATAGGACAGAAAAGGCAAAGTAAAAAGGTAAGGGTCAGAGAGGAGTCACAAAGTCTCCCGGCTATTTGGCTTTAGTGACTAGGAAGAGAGCAGAGCCACCATCATGACATAGTGACAAGCAGGACCAGGGGTCGATGAGGAACCAGAGGAAAACCTTGGAAAAATTTTCTTTCTGACAAACTTGCAGGGCTCATGAGCCATCTGAACAGAAGTTCTCATGGGGTAATGACAACCAGACCCAAGCTTGGTGAAAAGTCTCCTGGCGACATGGGTTTGAGTCACTTCTGAATAGAGAAAAAGGGATTCAACTGTTTGACTAGCTAACACTTCCAGAGTCGCCGCTGCATTCCTGCTCTACTCTGTGGAACCATGCTTCCTGGAAACAGGAGACTAGCTAGAGGAACGTGCCTATGGTAACAGTAAAAGTCCAGCAAACAGAGATGAATCCAAGCCTTAGTCATTGTTCTCTTGCTGTGAAGAGACACCATGACCA